CTAATGTAGCCCCCCCCCTTGTGACCACTCTATTCATCCAGTACCCTCATGCCATTTTATAACATCCAGCATCTCTCTTGCTTGTTGTGTTAGTTGCTGCCAGTCAATTCCTGACACTCTTGATTCTAAAGGATTTTTACTACTCATACTAAAGCAAACCATTTCCTGCCCAGTCTGTCCAGCTCTTCCAGATCTCATGTGTGAGAGTAGAACTACACTTCAGAAGTTCAGGAGCTGGTTTTGTGATGCAAGTTCTTACACCTTTGTTTTGGGGCACTTTTGGGTGGACTAAAACCTCCGACCTATTGATTTGCATCATTAACAGTTGCACCACCTACATACTCTAAGACCTCCTTTTAGTAAGTACCAGTGAACATAATCCTCAGTTTATTGGCTTTACCAAAACAATGTTCCTGGCCACCAGAGAGCTTGTCTCGCTACCAACAACCTGTTGTGTTCATGTGATTTTTTTTTTACTATTCCTGAACTCCTAATTCATTTCTGCTTTTACCTAAAGTGTCCACTGAACTGCCCTCTAATTAAGCTCAAGCTTCTTGTCTTAATCAATTTATCAAGTCCTCTAAACCACATAATCCTTCTTTTCCCTTATGCTTCTTGGCACTTAGAACCTTTATGATAATTAATTTTGGTGCTGCACTATTTTGATGACTTTGTAATCTTGAGGTTGAAGATACTGTGATTTGGCTTAGTTTTCCAGCAGCAGCAGAAGAGATGGGAAAGTGTTAGGGATGTTTTCAGTTAAAGAGCTTAAAAAAGGCACCCCAACGTAGGAAGGCAAACTTCAAAGATTAAAACGGTTATGATAGTTTTAAATATATATGTTGTTGTTATGTAACATTGAGTTGGAACCACCCATAGCTGACCCTACAGTGACTTTTCAGAAACAGTAAATCCATTGCTCCTAATAATTTACTGTTTGTTCTATATGGGATGTGAGAAAAGTGTTTCTCTCCAAGTGAGTGTTTCCCTCCAATCAAAATAAAAATCTCCACCAAGATTCTGGCATTCCCCTTTAGGAAACAAAATATTTAGCTAACTAAAGTGGTTAGGACCTTTGAAAGACAAGACTAGAGTATGAGCTACAATTGGAGGGGTGAAGATGAAGGCTGTTGGGAAAAGCTGAAAGAGCTCCCTTTAGCTGTGTAGATAAGTGGACAGAGAGCGTCGAGGATTACTGGATGGCAAATGCAGAATCTGTTTCTCCAGGGGCCCGAGGAACAACAGATGCAGAGACAGGATAAATTTCATTGCAGCAGGGGGAAACATGCTTCTCGATTCTCTCTCCATAAAGAAATGGGCTTCTCAGCGCTTCCCAGTTAAATGACTTTGATTGTGCTGTCTGTCATAAAGTTAATAGCATCTGTTGAAGGCATCACTATAAAATTTGCAACCTTAAGTTAATTGAAAAATTTTCAGTACCAAAGTAGCCATTGTGGAAGTCCTCAAGGTAACACTAAACTTATCCTCCTTAATGTGTTAGTCTATTCTTTTCACATACAGCTAATAAATTGTTTACCTTTATAGCCAGGTACTGGCTTTAAGCTGAAGACTTGCATTCCTTACACCTAATTATAATTGTCACTTTTATTAAGAAGCCAGTAACGTGGCAACTGGCCTTCTGTTTAGGATGGAATTGACCTTCCTGATTTCTCTCTTCCATTTTTCAAGAAAGCACAGAAGAACGGTAGGAGGTATCTCACTCCCTGATTTCAAATCCTACTACACTGCCGTAGTGGTAAAGACAGCATGGTACTGGTACAATGACA